GCAGTTGTTCCATGAAGGACAGCATCCTGCTCTCTTAAGAAAGTATGCAATCATTTCTCAGCTGACTGATTCCTTCCATCTATAACTCTGTCCCTTTCAATGGTCTATATATTTACTGTGTACTTTAGAAACCTACTTTTGAACATCTAGTCAATATTTATTTTCTTTTAATTTCTATTCATATTCTGTTTTAAAATTTTTCACTCAGGTCTAAAAAAGGAACTTCAATAATTTATAGCTTGACAAGATGTCAGCTATTTAAGATTTCAAATACTAAATGTCATCTTTTGCTTTTCATTACCTTCTTACATTGGGGAAGAATAGTTAAGCTAAATTTTTTAAATGCTGTAAAATAAGGCTAGAAAAAGACAGACCATAAGGAGAACAGAAAAGGCTATTATTCTGGAATTTAGTCCTTCCTGATAAATCAACCAAAGCAATGAAAGACAGATCCAAGCATAAGGCCAAATTCTTTGCTCATTGGCAACAAGAAACTTCTGACATCTGTAGTTAGTTTCTGAGTTTTTACTTTTTTTTGCTGGGGGGTGGTGGTTCTGGGGATTGAATTTGGGACCTTGCGCTTGCAAGTCAGGCAGCGGAACCACTAAGCTAAATCCTCAGCCACTCTTATTTTTTAATTTGAAAAGTAACTTTTGGTTTGGTTGACTGTTTCTAACAGACAAGTTAAAAGTGCTTATTGTTGAAACAGGGAAGGCCAGATTTAGGATAAAGATTATTTTTGTCTTATATTTCCTGAACTCAAGGTGGTTTAAACTTAGGATCACTGAGGTAAAAACTTAGTTGGATCTCTGGGACCCTTATTCTAGTTTTTGTTCTCTAGTCCTTTATCCAAGCTTGCATCATTAAGAAGGAGATGTCTTAGTTTAAATGTGTTCCTTACAAAAATTAATAAAACAGTACTGGGCAGGGTGGGGATGAGGGAATCTAATTAGGCAAGAAAAGGAGTGACTTACTATCATAGTTTTGTTTTGTTTTGTTTTTTTCTTTTGGCTTTTGGAGATAGGGTTGCACTAAATCATCTAGGCTGGTCTTGAACTTGCTATTATTACAGACAGTTAAGTTAGACAGAAATATTATAGGCAGTCAAATAGGGCTGGGCCCTCAACAGAGTCAACACTAAAGGTGAAAGCACATTAGAACCATGACCAGAGATGCATCTGTTGGAGACCAGGCCCGTATACTTCCCCAACAGACATAAGCAGTAACGCCTGGCCCAATTAAGTCTAGATAGGCATCAGTAACCCCAGTGGGTGACCAAGACCTCTAGACCTATCATTTTCTAGAAAAAGTCTTCCTTCTCTCCAAGCACACTTGTGATGTGACTTGTTCCCCCACTGGATCAATATTATCTAAAATGACTATGCTTGTAACCTTATTGGTTGATCATAGATTTAATTCACATTGTGCCCAGGTGGTTTTTTTTTTCTGTAAAACTTCCCCTAAAAAGTAGAGACCTTGGCTAACCATTCGGGACACCTTCTGCCTCTCAGGAGCTATCCTCTCAATACATATTTCCGACTCTTAACCTCCACTGATCCTAGAATTCATTCTTTGATTTTAGAGACCACAAGCTCAGTGTATCAGACATTTAACAGGTGGGACTTATAATATTTCCCTTGTTATCATTTGGAGGGCCTACTTAATCGTTTCTATCATCCCTGTCTCACTATGTAATCCAGCTAGCTTTGAAACTGTGATCCTCCTCTCAGCCTCCAAAGTGCAGGGATTACAGGCCTGCATTACCATGTTTAGTTTACTCTCATGTTTCTAAAAGAGAATGCAAACTGATAAATTGATCTGACAAGCAATTTGACAAAGTTTATCAGCCTTATAAAACATGCATTCCACTTCTAGGGGATTTATTCAATGAAGCCTCTTTCCCCAGTTCTTTTTCTCTCTACATTAGGTTAATGGGTCATTCAACTGTTCTTAGTATGTTTCTGTACTTTTAAAAAAGACTTTAATAAACATATATAATTTTTTGGTAATAAAATTTTAAAAAACAGTAAATATAAAACACACTCTACCAAAACAATTTCTATTTAAAGTATTTGGTGTTAAATGTGGGGACCATCTTCAGTGCTTTTTATCGCTACTACTCTGGAAAAATCAATATGTATTCACAGGGCCAGGGATTTAGCTCAGTGGTTCTACCACATGCCTTGCAAGCGCAAGTACCCAAATTCAATCCCCAGTACAAAAAAAAAAAAAAATCTATTCACAGTTTTGCTAACAACCTAGGGTCTGGGTATTCAATAAAAATCCCCATGTCCACTGTTGCGGCTGTCAGTTCCATGAGCTGGCTTAAGTAGAGTCTTAAAGCACAACCCTGAGTAGCCTGTGGACTATTCCCTCATGTTTCCGCAGACTCACGGCTCACGGGCTGTGTGAGTTAATACTAATGTGGTCAGCTCAATTCCCAGTACCACCACTACCAAAAGGGGGAGGAAGAGTGGAGAGGGGAGGGGAGGGGAGGGAAGGGAAGAGGCAGCTGGAGGGCTAGGTGTGGTGGTGCACACTTGTAATCCTAGTACTCAATAGAACTGCAACAAGTTGACTCAGGCAGGCTGCACAGTGAGTTCAAGGACAGCCTGAACTACATGGCAAGATCCTGTTTCCAAAACAAAATAAAACAAAGCAAGGAAGGAGGAGGTATACTAAGGCTTTGGTCCTTGTTGAACAAGTCCGGCATATAATACTGGATGATATTTAGAAATCTAGTTCCCATTATTTAATGAAATATTTGTTTCCTTCTTTTTATAGATGTTATCTAAATTCTCCTGAACATATGGTCCTAGGAATAGAAAGTAAGTTTTAAAGTGTGTGTGTTTATTTTTTTGTTGTTGTTTTTTGAGACAGGGTCTTGCTCTGCAGTCCAGGCTGGCCTCAAACTCTCAGCAATCCTGCTTCAGCTTCCCTAGTGCTGGGATTATAGATATGCACTATCATGCCCGGCCCTGAAGTGTTCTTTCGAAGTGTTTTGTTGATGGGTTCACAAACTTACATTTAAAACCTCTGGTCACTGTTTGCTAACAGTTGGGATGGTTTTTAACATGTTCACGAAGGGGCCATACATGCATGACTGTCCCATTGGCAGACTGTGTCACCTGAGGGGACTGTGCCATGTCACCCCATGTACTACCACTATTTTCAGCTTGAGTTTTGGAAGAGCTCCTCAAATGTCTTCAAACTGATTGAGGAGAAACTAATTAACAGAAGAGGACTTATTCCTGTCCTCAAATAAACTCTTAGAACTGAAATACGCTGCAACCACAGACAAAGAGAACTACATTTTTTGAAAACTTTATATCCAAAGGCAACTAAGGTTTCTAAATATCATTGAGTATCAGATGCCAAACCTACTCAACAAGGACCACAACCTTAATATACTGGATAACATTCTTCTCTTGCGTGTGTGTGTGTGTGGGGGGGTATTATTGGGGTTTGAACCCAAGGCCTTCATACTGATCCCAGCCCTTTTTTATTTTTAATTTTTAGATGGAGTTTTACCAAGTTGCCTAGGCTGGGTTCAAAATTGTGATCATTCTGCCTCGGACTCCCAGAGTGCTATGATTACAGGCAGGAACCACAGCCCCTAGTTTAGCCCCCTTCTTTTGGAATATTCTTGGTGTTGGTAACTTCTTGTTGTGGTGTGGAGTTTGAATATTAAATGCCCCCAAAGGACATGAGTTGAGGGCTTAGTCAGCAGCCTGGGAAGCAGAGAAACCTTTAGGAAGCAGAGCCTATGAGGAGAAAGGTCCCAGGGGCGGGGCATGCCTTTGAAGGGGATATTGGGATCCTGGTTATCTATGTCTCTCTCACTTTGTTTCTTGTTCATTCTAAGGTGAGTAGCTTTGCTCCACCATGTGCTCCCCACCATAATCTGCCTCTTCAAAGGCCCTAAACCAATGGAGCCAGGTGATCATGGATGAAAACCTCTGAAATCATGAAAAAAAAATAAGTCTTTCCTCCTTTTATTTCAGGTATTCTGTCTCAGTAATGGAAAGCTAACATACTTCTTCTCTAGAACCTAGTTTTCATTACACTAATTTTTCTCAAAGAAGTTTTGATGACTCAAGTAAAAGGTACAAAATTTCATCAACTCAGTAGATATTTTTCTTATCATAATCCTGACTTGAACGAGGAAAGTGACAGAGCCTCTTTGCTATAAGACCAACTTAGTTTTAGGCTCCAGAAAAGCCTGAGTCTCTCAGTAGCTCAGATTAAACCAGACTTCTCCAGATTTAGGCATAAGTATTCCAACTATTCAAATTAATCAGAGTCAGGTAAATTCTTCTAGTTTAGGAAGGCTAATTTAGGCCTTATCTTGGACATATGACACTTTGATGAGTACTGTATTTGCATGACTAAATATTCTGTTTCTTTTTAAATTCTTACATGATTTATTGTGTAAAAAATTTAAAAATCTCTCCCAGGAAAAAAGGACCATAGGAAAGATTTCCAAGGCTGACCCCACCCCCATGCCCCAATCCTACTATATTAAGTCTCTGGGAATAAGATCCTACCTAGCCCAAAGCCCCATTAAAGTTTTTTTTTAATTGTTATTTTTTGAGACAGGGTCTTGTTATGTAGACCTTAAACTCATTATATAGCCCAGGCTGGCCTGGAACTCATAGTAGCACGCCTGCCTCAGCTTCCTGAGTCCTGGGATTATAAATAGGCATGTGCTATCATACCTGACCTAAATTTTAAAATTTAAATATTTTTACAAGTTGGTCTCTTCTAGTCTTTACGAATGCTGAAGTATGCATGCTGAAGTATGAGAACCTCTGAAATGGTGTAACTGTAAGAATGAATGAGGGCTGAAAATGTAGCTCAGTGGTTGAGCACTTGCCTGGAAGGAGTGAGGCCCTGAATTCCATCTCTAGCATCCTCTTCCTCCACACACACACACAAAAATAAATAAACAAAAGGGAAGAGGACAGTGAAAGAATCCTAGCAAGCAGAGGCAATTAAAATTTGATTTTGAGGATTTAATACCAGTGGGGGAAAGGGACTGTAAAAAGTGGAGAGGGATCATGAACACTTCTGTTTTATAATTCCAACTCTTTCCTGTATCATCTTCAATTAGTCTGGTTGCATCAGTATGTTGATACTTTCTTCTACCTCTGAGAGCTTCTTCAGTATTTGGTTGACCTTGACCTCATCAAATTCCAAACACAGAAATTCAGATTCCTGTAAAACATAAAAAGATGTTTTAGAAGGGACCCCTAAGAGACCAAAGGCTCTTCATATGGCATAATCAAGCTCAAAAGACCTACAGATTGAACTCAGGGCCTTTGTACTGACCTATATTTCCAGACCACCATACCAGCTAGTCTCTTTTTTGAGATCTTTTTGGCTTCCACATATAAGTGAGAATATTTGGAGTTGGTATTTGTTTTTCTGTACCCCACTTATTTCACACAACATACTTTCAGTTTTGTCCATAATGCTGCAAATGACAGAATTTCTCTTTCTTTCCCTCACTCCCTCCAACCACTCTCCCACTTTGGATAAGAGTAGGGATCAAACCCAGGATCTCAAACATGCTAGGCAAGTATCCCTGAGCTGTACCACACCTCCCATTACCAGAAATTTTTTTATAGCTGAATAACATTCCATTTGTATATATACCACATTCTCTTTATCCATTCTCTTTATCCATTTATCCACTAATGGACCAGGTTAATTTGCTATCTTGGCTATTATGAATAGTGCTACAAAAAACATTAATGCTGATATCTTTTTGGCATACCCATTTCCATACCATATCCTCCTGCATCCCCTCTCAAGTGATGAGATTAGGTGTGCCACCACGGCCAGCTTACACTTAAAAATATATTTAGAAATACAGGACATGTTTATCCAGGCAGAAGCTGAAAGTATCAAAGCCACCTATACAAAAAGTATGTCCAAGACACTTGAAAATACATTAAGGCTTCAAATATATCCAGCCAAAAGCACAAAGTATGAAAGCAATATGAAATATTGTACTGCATTGTTTTTTCAAAGTCATCTTTCTTTAGTGGGGTCTATTTGGTAGTAACGAGAGATGACAAGGCTAAAATACAGTGTCTGTATTTAAGTGTATGGATCAAAATTAGAGCTCATGGGCCAGGGATTTAGCTCAGTGGTTCTGCCACCTACCTTGTGCAAGGTCCTGAGTACCAAAAAAAAAGTTAGAACTCATTTCTTTTTAGTATAAGATGCAGTATGGGGTAATCAGAAAGTTGTCAGAATAAGAAGCAAGAACAGGGCTGGAGATTTAGCTCAGTGGTTCCACCGCTGGCCTCACAGCACAAGGACAGGAGTTCGATCCCTGGTACCAAAAAAAAAAAAAAAAAAA